ATATTTGGTTTTTCGAGACAGAGTTTCTCTGCATACCCCTGGCTGTCCTGGAATTCACTCTGCTGGCCTTGAACTCACAAAGATCTCCCTGCCTCTGCCTCCCAAGTACTGGGAATAAAGGCGCGTGACACATCGTCCAGCTATTTTAAATTCTTTATGTGTATGACGGTTTTGCCTACGTGTATGTAAGCACGCCATATGCATGCCTGGTGCCTGTGGAAGTCAGAAGGTGTTGGATGCCCCGAAACTATTACAGGTGGTTGTATGCCACCACGTGGGTGCTGGAACTGAGTCCAAATTCTCTGTGAGAGTAGATCATGCTCTTAACTGCTGAGCCGGCTAGCTAGCTTTTATTCATCTATTTTGAGACAGGACTTTTCTACATAGCCTTGTATACCCTGGGACTCACTGTGTAGACCAGACTAGCCTGGAACTCACAGGGATCCACCTGCCTCAGCCTCCCGAGTGCTGGGATTAAAGTTGTGCACCACCGCCACCCTTGGTCATTTTACTTCTTTATTTTGGGAGAAGGGCACACAGATATGCCAACTGTGTGGAGGTTGGAGGACAACTTGAGAGAGTTGGTGGGTCCTGGAGATCCAGCTCAGATCACCAGTCTTGACAGTCAGTGCCTTCACCTGCCGAGCCCTGTGCATGCACTTTGCACCGGTGCCCTGCACTGGTGGACAGCAGCAGGAGGCTTTGCCCCGATGGCAGAAGCAGTGGTCTCATACAGATGAGACGAGCCAGGAATCAGACAGGTTAGGAATCTTCCGATCACATGAGCAGGGAATGGGAGGAGCTCAGGCTTTCAGATCTGTGGGTCTGTCCATTTCGTGCGCCTTTCTTTTTTCTTCACGACGCCTCAGTAAGTCTCTCGCATACAGAGGAGCAAAAGAACGGTAGGAGCAGACAGGGCTTGAGAGACATCTACCCAAGATGAACAGGAGGCCTCGACGGGAGGGGCAAATGAACAGGAACTGAGACCGTGGGATTGCACCTGGGTCATGGCCAGACTAGTTAGAGAAGGACTCCTTCCCCACACACCCAGGAATTCCTTCCAAACTCTGGATAACACATTTATCTAGACGTCTAGTCAGGGAAATACAAAACAGGTATCACATGGGCTCTGTGATACAGGCTGCATAATGGAAGGATGCTGTCTCAGTCACTGTTCCATTGCTGTGAAGAGACACCACGACCAAGGCAACTTATAGAAGAAGACATTTAACTGGAGCTGCCTTACAGCTCCAGAGGCTTAGTCCATCATCATCATGGCAGGGCGTGTGGCGACAGGCAGGCAGACGGGTGTGGGGCTGAGAGCTTTACATCCTGATCTGTAGGCAGAGAGAGAGAAAAACCACTGGGCCCGGCCTGGGCTTTTGAAACTTCAAAGCCCACCTGTAGCACAGGTAATAAAAGCCCAGAGATAGACAATGGGGTTTGACCTGAAGATCTAACTTAGTCGGTAGAGCTTGAGATTCTTAATCTCAGGGCCATCGGTTGGGGCCCCATGTTGGGTGTCACCCACCCCCAGTGCACACCTCCTCCAACAAGGCCACACCTCCTAATCTTTCCCAAACAGTTCCACTAACTGGGACCCAAGCAACCAAACAAGCCTGTGAGGCCGTTCTCATTCAAACCATCGCAGACGACCTTCAACAGACTTACATGAAAGTAGAAAAACAAAGGCTAGGGAGATGGCTCAGGTGGTGAAAGTGACTGCCACAGAAGCATGAGGCCCTGAGTTTTAATCCTAGCACCCACAGGCCTGCAAACCCTGAGGATTCCTGGGGTTTGGTTAGCCCCCCAATCCAGCTGAGTCAGAGGGTATCAGTTTCAGGGAGAAACTCTGTCTGAAAAGCTAAGGAAGAGAGTAATAAAGGAAGCCAGCGCTGGTTACAGGCACATGCATGGCTTTCCTCACTGCTGCTCTTTTGTTTTATTAACATGGGTGCTGAGGAGTCAGACTCAGGCGCTCACAATCGCACAGTAAGCTCTCTTCCTCACTGAGCCGTCTCTCCGCCTGCTAGTGATGTTTCTGGTCTGTTTGTATAACATCCAACCTTCATCAAGAGTTATCTGTGTCCAGGTACCAGTTTAAAGAGAAAAACAAGGAAGAAAAGTCTCAGGAGATGCTTCAAAAGGCAGCACTCCACAGACTCAACATAGAGCTGCCACTGAGACCTCGAGACAAGGAGATGACCCCTGTCAGGACAGGAGCTCTGGGCCTGAAGAATCAGGGCGGAATGGCAGCCAGAGGAGAGGGGGAGGAGAAGAGGAAAGATCAGGGCAAGGAAGAGCCTGCGGCAAAGACTCCTGTTCCAGAAAGTAGGGGCAGGACATTGGCAACTACAGGAGCAGTGCTGAAAGAGCAGAGGAAGAGGCCAAGGGCCACAACAGCTGTTCCAGCCAAGGAGAAGGCGGCCCAGGTCAACCCATCCCCGGCCTCTTTCCCACGACCCACCACCAAAAGAAGTCAAAGGCTGAAAGCCTCTGACTTCAAGTCTGAGCCTCGGTGGGATTTTGAGGAAGAATACAATTTGGATATGGGGGGCCTGCAGACGGTGAGTTGAGACCTCCTCATTTCCTCAACCTCCACACCCCGCCCCCATCCCAATTAGCCCCTTCCTCTAGGCTCAGCTGTCAGTTTTACCTTGGCCCACCCTGAGCTCGGCCCAGCACTGCTATTGGCCCAGCACTGCTGTTGGGTCATCCCTCCTTCCTATTACAGCCAATCAGGGAGGAGAAGGCAAGTCCAGAACCAGGTCTGGACCACTCAGCAAGGCGTGGGTGAAAAGGGTTTGTTTGCCTTGGAAGCCTTGAAGAAGGCCTGGGGCAGATCAGCAGTCTGTGGGGACAGAGTGAGGCAGTTCTGGCCTGTGGGACAAGAATCCTTATTCTATAATCGTGGGACTAATGGACAAGAAGACAGCCCTGTGCCCAGCTGTTGTCCCCCCACCCCCAGGAACATTGCCATCTCTGGAAAGCTGACTCTAGAACCTTCACTCTTCTCCAGGCTCAAGAAAAACTGTGGGCGCTCAACCCCATGTCACCTCCCTAAACTTTCTCCCCCCAGCCCAGGAGGGCAATATGGAAAACCAGTTTGTGGATACACACAGAACAGGATCATTGTCCCAACAGTACAGTGGGCATACCATGTGCGTCCTCAGACTTGTCAAGGTGTAGCTGGCTAGGGGCTCAGAGGGCCTGTTTTCCGGGGCCAAGGGGGACCGAGACTTGGAGAGTTAGACAGCCAGACACGGGGTTCAGAGTGAAAGAGGGAGGATGGCAGGAGCTTTCAAACTGTAATGCCCAGCCTCTGCCTGATGGTAGCCAGACTCTGGCTGATGGTGCCCAGTCCATCCTCTGGCTGATGGTAGCCAGCCTCTGGCTGATGGTGCCCAGCCCAGCTTCTGGCTGATGGTGCCCATGCAGCCTCTGGCTGATGACTTCCTGGGCCACTCCCTTGCCTGACACATCCTCCCGCACATAGACATGCCCAGACTCTCTGAAGATCAGGGCCTCCAAGTCACCGTGGCTAAAGAATATCTTTCTGCCCAACCTCACTCTCTTCCTGGACGGTGCCCACTTCACCCAGAGCGAGTGGGACCGTCTAGAGCACTTTGCACCGCCCTTTGGCTTCATGGAGCTCAATCAGTCCTGTGAGTCCTCACTTCAGGGCAGAGGGTGGCCGGCTCCTGTCTGGGGTCTGCTTCCTTCTGGGACTCTGAATGGAGCTCTGCTCTCTTCCAGTGGTCCAGAAGGTGGTGACCCGCTTCCCTCCGGTACCCCAGCAGCAGCTGCTCCTGGCCAGCCTCCCCTCGGGGAGCTCCAGGTGTATCACCTGTGCCGTGGTGGGCAACGGGGGCATCCTGAACGATTCGCACGTGGGCCAGGAGATAGACAGCCATGACTATGTTTTCCGGTATGTTCTCCTCCTCCAGCCTCGTGCCTGTTGACATGGACTATTATGGGAAAGCAGACAAGTGTCCCAATGCTTTTATTTAGAAAGTGGAGTGTCTCCAGACCCCGCCTTTCTGCCCCATCCCCTCTCACACCTCCACCATTTTCTCCCCTCCACCCCTGCCATCCACTTTGGTCTTTCCATATAGACTGAGTGGAGCCGTTATTAAAGGCTATGAACAGGATGTGGGGACCCGGACGTCCTTCTACGGCTTCACTGCCTTCTCCCTGGTCCAGTCAATCCTCATACTGGGCAGTCGGGGTTTCCAGCATGTGCCTCTGGGAAAGGTGAGAAGAGAGGAATGGGCGTGGCCACACAGCCTCCTGACGAGGGACTGACAGAGAGATGAATACCTTGTGTGTGGATGGAGCCTGGGTCGTCCTACGCTCTGCTCATATGAGGGCAAGAGCAGTGGGACCAGTCACTCAGGCCATGGCACAGCCAGGGGACAGTCTGGAACCAAGTGGGGCCACCCCCAGCCCATGGTCCCCAAAACTGTACAGCTGAACCACTTGCTGTCCTTGGTCTTCAGGATGTCAGGTACCTACACTTCCTGGAGGGCACTCGGGACTACGAGTGGCTAGAAGCGATGTTTTTGAACCAGACCATGGCAAAAACCAAACTTCACTGGTTCAGGTACCTCTTTCCTTCCTGACCCAAAGCCCAGGCCAGACTGAGAAGTCAGTGGCTGACTTCAAAAGACTGTCTCTGTGCCACCTGGAGATGGGATAGCGGTCACACCATGACCCTGTCTTGGCCCCAACAGGCCGGGTAAGAGAACAGGTCCTGAGTGATCCTTCCCTGATACAGGCACAGGCCCCAGGAAGCTTTCCGGGACGCCTTGGACATGGACAGATACCTATTGCTGCACCCAGACTTTATCCGTTACATGAAGAACAGGTGAGGTCTGAAAGCCCACGGAGGGGCTGTGTCCTCTCATCCTCGCTGTCTCCTGACAGTGAGTTTTTTTTTTTTTGAGCAGGTTTCTGAGGTCAAAGACCCTAAACACTGCCCGCTGGAGAATATACCGCCCCACCACTGGTGCCCTCTTGCTGCTGACGGCCCTTCATCTCTGTGACAAGGTGAGGCTGTGGAGCTCAGCTCAGGGGGTGGCTGAAAACCTCCAATGGGAATGGGGAGTGGGATGAGCATGCATGTGTCCCCGGGGAACCTGCATGCAGACCCCTGGGCACAGAACCCTGATAAAGGAGAAAGGGTCAGACTTCCCATGAGGGAAGCCCCAGGACACAGCCAGAGCTGTCCCAGCTCCTCCCCCATTCTCTATGCAGGTGAGTGCCTATGGCTTCATCACCCAGGGCCACAAGCGCTTCTCTGACCACTACTATGATAAGTCGTGGAAACGGCTGATCTTTTACATAAACCATGACTTCAGCTTAGAGAAGACAGTCTGGAAGCGGCTGCATGATGAAGGCATCATCCGGCTGTACCAGCGCCCAGAGCTCCCGGAAGAGAAGAACTGAGCAGCTCGGCTTCAGGAGTCTCCTGGATCGTACACCACAGGGTGTCAGGGTTCCTCAGCTGTCCCCACCCATCTCCCAGGACTCAAGCAGGCTCCAAGCCCTTGGAGAGTCCCAAGGAACAGCTGTGAGGAGCCCAAGGGTTGGGAGTCCTCTGGGAAGTCATTACTAGCTCAAAGCACACACATAGACACCAACAGTTCATTTCAGGTTACTTTTCAAATTCTGTCTTCAGGACTCTGGGACCTAAAATAACACTAAAACAAACAAACAAACACCCCAGCAACAGCAAAACCTTCTTTTAGACAAGATAGTGCAGGAGCGATTCCAGCCGACAGGGGGAGGCAGCGGAGCGCTAGAGCGCTCATTGCCTCTCTTTGTGGAGGGAAGAGGAGTCACATGACAAGTGTGAATGGGGGGGGGGTATTTGGCCTGCTTTGGAGTAATTTCTCTGGGCAGCGCTTCTGCAGAGCAGAGCCCAGGGCTCCAAAGTACAACCGGGTGCAGGGATGGGCAGGACGAAGTAGCCTAGAGCAATGCAAGCAGCGAGGGCTGCCGAGATGCAGCTGGGCAGGACAGGCAGCATTGCCCCAAAGTGGCCTCCAAGGAGGATGCCTGAAGGGTGCATCTGCCCGGGGTCGCTCCTTTCCCTGTGTCCTGTTCTGGACAGCTCTCCGACTAGCAGGTGGTTTTGGGAGAGGGTGCTGCGGCAACCACCCCCGCCACTTCTCAGGTCTGCAGAGCGACAGTTGCTGCCCCTGCTGCCCTGTCACCACAGCTCTGCAGGGGTGGTGTCCACATTTACCGAAGAGGAGAGAAGACTACACAGGTGCAGGAAAGTCCTTTGCCCAAGTTTGTCCCAAGTCCAAGTCGGCCCCAGGTCAACTCAGCCTAGTTTCGGCTCATTTAGTGGCTTCACTCTGCCTACATCGTACGGTCAACCCCTCTGGAGGAGCAGAGAGGACTGGGGTGCAAGCTTGCCCAGCAGGCACAACGTCTAGGCCCCAACCCAACACCGGAAAGAAAAGAAGTTTGGAGTAGTAATAATAACAACCAGGGCTACAGAGAAAGCTCAGCGGTTAAGAGCACAGGCTACTCTTCCCCAGGACCTGACTTTGGATCCCAGCACCCAGTTAGGCAGCCACAGCTGCTGGGAACTCCAGCCCCAGGGGATCCGCAGCCTCCTTCTGTGTTTTGTGGCACTTGCACTCACGTGTACATTCCCATACAAGGACACACGTGGACACACAATTAAAAAGATAAACCTTGGGGGGCTGGAGAGATGGCTCGGAGGTTTAGAGCACTTGACTACTCTTCCAGAGGTCCTGAGTTCAATTCCCAGAAACCACATGAGATTCATAGCTATCTACAATGAGATCTGTACCCTCTTCTGGTGTGGAGGCATACATGTAGGCAGAACACTGTAAACATAATAAATAAATCTTTAGAAAACAAAAATAAAAAATAAATCTGATGCAATATATGGACCTGCCTCAATAACCCCACATCAGATAGAAATCTGATCTCCAAAATATACAAAGAACTCAAGAAATTGGTCACTAAAAGAACACATAATTCGGCCGGGCGGTGGTGGCGCACGCCCTTAATCCCAGCACTCGGGAGGCAGAGGCAGGCGGATCTCTGTGAGTTCGAGACCAGCCTGGTCTACAGAGCTAGTTCCAGGACAGGCTCCAAAGCCACAGAGAAACCCTGTCTCGAAACAAACAAACAAACAAAACAAACAAACAAACAAAAAAGAACACAGAGTACAGATCTAAACAGAGAACTCTCAACAGAGGAATCTAAAATGGCTGAAAGACACTTAAGGAAATTTTCAACACCCTTAGTCATCAGAGAAATGCAAATCAAAACAACTCTGAGATTCCATCTTACACCTGTAAGAATGGCCAAGATCAAAAATACTGATGACAACTTATGCTGGAGAGGTTGTGGGAAAACGGGAACACTCCTGCATTGCTGGTGGGAAAGCAAGATGGTACCGCCTCTCTGGATGTCAGTGTGGCGATTTCTCAGAAAATTAGGAACAACCTTCCTCAAGACCCAGCAATACCACTTTTGGGTATATGTCTATAATGAGCATGGAAACAGAGTCCTCTGAATGAATAAATAAAGAAAAATCTGTAGTGTAGATAGAGCAGGAGAATAAGAATGAATGCAACTTGGTGTAGTATAAAAGCATTTCTTCTTGTGTGTGGTGTGGAAAATTACTAAGGTGAAATATTAAGAGAACATTTGCCCGCTGGAAGGCTGCCACACCCATCTGGCCCTGCCAGATTGGGGGCTGTACCCAGCAACCTTGGTAACAAAGTAATCTTGCCACACGAGAGGGACCCCCACCCTTCCGTGGCCAGTCGATTCTGATAACCTAGGACATCTGGTTATCAGAAGCGTAAATGAGAGGCAGTTTCAAACTGGCATAAAAAGAGAGGGCAGAGGCAGGGCACTTATCTCACTGCTCACAATGGCCTGGACATCAAGCCTTGTGGAAAGAGAGATCCTCTAAGCCTGCCTCCGAATAGCAAAAATTAAATGCCTAAACATTTAATGCTCTGTCTCCTGAGTACAGAGCTTCATCTCCCAAAAGCAGACATTTTATGCCTTGCATCCCAAATGCAAAGCCTCATTTCCTGAGAGTAAACATCAAAGGCCTGTCTCCCGAGAACAGACAAGACACTCTGTCTTCCTGATTGCAGACAGAACTCTCTGCCTTCCCGAGCACAGGCAGAATGCTTTTGCCTTCTGAGACCAGGCCACAGACTACATGGTCAAGAATTGATGTAGCACCTGATACCAGCCTGAGATCAGGACATCGAAACCTTATCTCGCGAGCTCAGACTCCTGGGTCAAGAGTTGAGCCTCGCTGTCCAGCCCCCAGTGCGGTCAGGCATCCAGCCTGAAGAAATTCAAAATCTGTTTTTAAGATGAAGAATACCAAGTCATATGACGCTATTTAATGCGTGCACAAAATGTTAAGAGAAGAGCAGAGATGTGTTAATACATACGCTAGTATATGGAATGTTAAAAGATATCTTAAAAGATAAGTGATAAGTTGTTTTAAGTTTAAGAAGTGTTTTATAGGTAATGGATAAGTTGTATTAAGGTTAAGAAGTGTTTTATGGATAAGTGATGTTAGGTTAAGGTTATGAATTGGTTTTATGTATTAGGTTTAGTAGGATTAATACTTGTGATATTGAAGTGCCTGTGTGTTGCCCATCATCAATCCCCTATGCCTATTAAGATTGTAAACCCCATTGATGCATTGGATATTGAAGTTGCTAGTAAAGAATCATCATAAAGACAATTCTCTTGCTTGGTCTGATCACTCATCGCTCTCTGAGGAGAAAGGTCCTCATAGTTACTACTCGCAAAGAACCTGGAGCTGAAGTCCCCCAGCTCGTAACAATATCCAAAAGATGCTCAATTGTGCCACGAGGACATGTGCTCAACTATGTTCATAGCAGCATTGTTTGTCATAGCCAGAACCTGGAAACAACCAAAGTGCCCCTCAACCGAAGAATGGATAAGTAAAGTGTTGTACATTTACACATTGGAGTACTACACAGCAGAAAAAAATAACGACAGCTTGAATTTTGCAGGAAAATGGGTGGAACTAGAAAACATTATTCTGAGTGAGGTAACCCAGACACAGAAAGACAATTATCACATGTACTCACTCATAGGTGGTTTTTAAACATAAAGCAAAGAACACCAGCCTACAAATCACAATCCCAGAGAACTTAGACAACAATGCGAACACTAAGAGAGACTTACATAGATCTAATCTCATGGGAAGTAGAAAGTAGAAAAAGACAAGATCTCCTGAGTAAATTGGGAGCATGGGACCTTGGGGGAAGGATTGTAGGGGGAGGGGAGAGGCAAGGAGGTGATCAGAGAAAAATGTAGAGCTCAATAAAAATCAACTAAAAATGAAGAAAAAACACAAAATAAAAAAGAGTGAAAACTAAATAAATAAATAAATGGACCTGTCAGCAAAATATTTATTATAAGACCTTGAAGCCTCATGCCTAGAAGGTGTGGTGGAGCCTGCTACATATAGGCATAGGAAGGTGCTGTACTGCCTGGTTTGTGTCTAACGACACAAGCTAGAGTCATCAGAGAAGAGGGACCATCAGCTGAGCAAATGCTAAAATGGGGCTGCACGCAAGCCTGTGGGGCATTTTCTTAATTAGTGAGTGACGTGAGAGAGGCCCAGCCCAGTGTGGGTGGTGTTGCCCCTGGGCTGCTGGTCCTGAGTTTTCTAATGAGTCAGGCTGAGCAAGCCATAGGAGCGAGTGAGACCCCTCCATGGCCTTTGCATCAGCTCCTGCCTCCAGGTTCCTGCCCTGTCTGCGTTCCTGTCCTGACCTCTTCGATAATGGCCAGTGATGTGGAAACAGAAGCCAAATAAACGTCCTCCCCATGCTCCATTTGGTCTTGGTGTTTCATCACCGCAGTAGTGCCCTGACCAAGACAGGTACTAGCCAGGGCTGGAGAGACGGCTCAGAGGTTAAGAGCACTGACTGCTCTTCCAGAGGACCTGGGTTTGAGTCTCAGTATACGCATGACAGTTCACAGACATCCGTTACTCTAGTTCCAGGGGATCCAATGTCCACTTCCGGCCTCCCGTCAAGTAAAGAACTGTTTTTTGTTATTGGAAAAGATGACTCAGCAAATAAACCTGTTAGTTCACACACACACACACACACACACACTAATTTATATACAGAGTGTAACTCCAACAGAAATGGCAAAATAAGTTATTTTCTAGAAAGAAAAGTGTCACTAAACTGACCACAGATGAATAAACAGGTAAGAAGAGTCAGGAAACTGAAACAGACACCCATCAGTGAGGTCTGATTCTCCCAGCTACCAAGGCATACTGTAACAGCCTGGCATACTAAACAGACTGGTCATGAGTTACGAACTGATAGAAGGACAGGAGACTGGAAGGCCAGAGAGAGTCCCAGGTAGCTGGGGAAATCACCCTACTTACTTGGTACTGAGGCAGAGGCAGGCAGATCTCTGTAAGTTTGAGGCCAGCCTGGTCTATATAACAAGCTGCAGGCCAGCCAGAACTACATAGTGAAACCTGTATCAGACAACAAAAGTTAAACATAGACGGTGGGAACATAAGGAACAACATTGCATGTCTGTAATCAAACAGTAGGGAAGCTGATGCAGTCTGTGAGTTTGAGGCCAGCCTCAAAGAAAGAGCAAAACTATGTCTCAAAACCAATCCATCAGTCTGTAAATAAATAAATAAACGGGTGCAACAAAGCACTGGATGACTGGAACCTTTAAGACTTAAAATACTACACAAGGCACAGGTGGTGGTGGCGCACGCCTTTAATCCCAGTACTCAGGAGGCTTAGGTAGGTGAATCTCTGTGAGTTCGAGGCCAGCCTGGACTACAGAGCAATTTCCAGGAAAGCCAGGGTTATGATATGGGATGTCCTTCCATATAAGTGTTGCTTTATTGGTTGGTGAATAAAGTCGTTTTGATCAATGACTTAGCAGAGTGAAGCCAGGCAGGAAATTCGAACAGAGATAAAGAGAAAGAGTGGGCGGAGTCAGGGAGACACCAGGTAGCTGCCAAAGGAGAGGATAGGCTGGAACCTTAGAAACATTAGCGGTAGGCCACAATCTCCTGCCAATACACAAATTGATAGAAATGAATTAATTTAAGATGTAAGAGCTAGGTAAGAATAAACTATAATCATTGGCCAAATAGTGTTGTAATTAATATAGTTTCTGTGTGATTATTCGGGTCTAGGCAGTAAGGAAATGAACAAGCAGTCTTCTACTACAGGTGCTACACAGAGAAACCCTGTCTTTAGAAAACAAAACAAAGGAAAAACTACATAAGGGCCTGGAGAGGTGGTCCATCAGTTAAGACACTTGCTGCTCTGGCAGAGGACTCAAGTTTGGGTACTAGTGCCCGTGTTGGATGTCTCAAAACATCTGCCTGTAACATCCAACACCCTCTTTTGTCTGTTAAGGGCACTGAACACACATGGTGCACATACAAATATACACATGAATAAAAGTAAACAAATTTTAATTAAAAGCTATCCATTTAAAAAAATAAATTAGGGCTGGAGAGATGGCTCAGTGGTTAAGAGCATTGCCTGCTGTTCCAGAGGTCCTGAGTTCAATTCCCAGCAACCACATGGTGGCTCACAACCATCTGTAATGAGGTCTGGTGCCCTCTTCTGGCCTGTAGGCATATACACAGAATATTCTATACATAATAAATAAATAAATACATACATACATACATACATAAATGTTTAAGAAAAAATAAAAAATAAAAAAATAAATTAAAAATACCATATAGAGGGGAATAAAGTGGAGATAACAGGGTTTATGCGCTAATAACATGGTCCTCCAGTTTCCTTCAGAATCTGGTCTTAAATTTTTTTGTTTGCTTGCTTGCTTGTTTGTTTCCTTGAGACAAGGTCTCTCCATACAGCCCTAGCTGTCCTGGAACTCACTCTGTATACCAGGCTCGCCTCAAACTCACAGGGATTCACCTGCCTCTGCCTCCCGAGTGCTGGGATTAAAGGTGTGCACGACACAACAGGTCACTTTTAAGTTCTTTTATCTATGAGATTAAAAACCTACTAAGAGGACCCTGGATTCCCTGGTAAACTATGGTGCTGAGTGAAGATATCAACATGAGTTGTGATTTTAGATGAAAGACAGAGAATTAGATGTGTTTTTTTCCAAGACGGTGTTTCTCTGTTTTACCCTGAGTGTCCTGGAACCCTGCCTAAAGAAAACAAACAGAAAAATTATATGTGTATGTATATTCATGTGTATATTCATATATATGTACATTCATGCAAGTATATGTTGGTGTGTATATACTTATGTGTGTATATGTATTCGTGTGTGTGTATATTCGTGTGCATGTGTATATAAATTTATCCTATGATTCTATCTAGATCTATCTATCTATCTATCTATCTATCTATCTATCTATCTATCTATCTGAGCTGAGTGAGGAAAGAATCACTGGAATCCTCCTGAGGCAGAGAAGGCAGACTCTAGGACAATGACCAATGGCTTATTCTCCCACCACCGACTTCCTACCCATAAACCTACAATTTTCTGGGAATCTCACCAG